AGCGTGCGAGCGGAGGACGTGCTGTGCCGCCGCCGTCCAGCTCTGCGGCTCTAACGTTCAGACCTGGCTCCACGCACTAACAGACGGGGAGAAAACAGAGCACGTCCCCATGGAGGCCGAGGGTTTGGAAAACGTGGCGGGAGTTTCTCGGGAGCGCTGGGAATAACCCAGCGAGCAGCGAGCGCTTTGGCTGGAGCAGAGCCGGGCGCGGGCCCCGCTTTGGATGTCCGTGCGCGCTGCCTACAAGGAGACAGGGGTTTGCGCATGTGTCCGCGTCGCAGCACGCACCGCTGGCTTCGCCTCATCCCGCACTAACACGTACTAACCGCAGCGCATGCGCCCGCGCTCCACGCAGTGAGTAGAAGAGCAAAGCCCGACTTCAGCTCACGCTTCCCGCCCGGCCCCGGCTCGGGAAGGACAGGGCAGGTCTGGCCTAGATGCTCAACTCTGGGTCCCACCAAGATCATGTCTCTGCTGAAGTGGCCCAAAAGGCAGAATTAAAGGCTGAAAGTTTCATTCCGTTGCTAATTCCAGCCCCGGGAAGTCCCACAATTCTGTTATTTTACCACCCGAGCACAGGAGAAGAGTTGGGGGGGGGTATTCCCTCCAGGATGAGAAGGGGAGGTTGCAGGAAGGGGCTTTCCCTTTCTGAGGCAGGATTCCAAGGAGCCGCATGCAAATCGTAATTATCTTGTAAATGAATGGGAAGCAAAACAACCGTGCAGAGAGCTCGCTGCGCGCCAGCCTGGGGCGATTCTGCTGTAAATCTGCTGCGTTTGTTCAAACTCTCCAGTGGGGGCTCACCAAGAGATCGACTTGAAGATGCCCAGAGGCAACGTGAAGGAGACGGGGGTTTCCTCCTCCCGTCTGGAGCGCATGGGGGTTTGGAAGGAGCATCCTGTGGGTTGTCGCAGAGTTGCGACAACAAGGCAGTCAGGAGATACTGGCCTTAAATCTCCTTTGCCCCAGAAGAGGAGGGCAAAGGAAGCCAATTGCAACAGGAGCTTAATGCTTAATGCGTAGCAGGTTTTAAGTCCGTGATGCTCTGGCCTGGCCGTGTTGTTAAGCGTTCCGCATTGCGAGCCAGGTTTTTGCTCCTGATTCTCCTTCCACAAAGCGGCGCAGGGAGGCGAGGAGCAACCATGCCCTGGAGCCTCATGCTCCACCTGGGTCCCT